TCACATGGGGGCCATATGCTAAGGGTAGATACAAGAAAAGACAGTTTTGGATAAAAGGTTTATTTTCAGAAGAACTGCATGTTCCAGGTCAGAGGGCATATCAGTAACTGAAGCTCTTAGTTCCTAACCTATAGTAGATGCTGACTGAGTATTAGTGAAGAAATGACTGACTCACAGATGCTTAATAAGTATTTTCAGATGATGAGAAGGACAAGTGCAAATTAGAAATTCTTCAGAGGAAGCTAATAATAGTAATTATTCCTCGAAGAGTAAGACACTGCTTAGCATAGATGTAAGTTTTGCTTGTGTATAAATTACAAGTTCCTGGGTGAACCTTTCATGGGTTATGATAAAAACTGACAACTATACAATCAGAAATTATGCAATTCTTCTGTCTACCTCCTTCAGTAATCTCTCGATTGCATTTAGAAGGAGCAAACCTCACCTTCCTTGAGAAAGTGAGCTGGAACACCCTCATGCTCTATAATTCTCTGCCTTTCTGCTGCTCTCATTTTTCCCATATGGTTACTAAAGAAAATTACAAAGCCCCATTTGAGTTAGTGCATATTAAAAATGATGTCAGAGGGAAACACACAGATGAAAGTCAGCTCTAAAGATGAGGCATTTATTGAAAACAGTTACTGGAAGACAGATTTTGGCATGGAAAACATAAAACTATCCTACACCTGCCCCTGTCAAAGCGTGACTGAGTTTTCCAGCCTTTCCCTAGCTTTCACGGTCAGAGTCCAAGCTCTGGGCACTGTCCTTGATGGGCCTTTCTTGCTCTAGCTTACCCTTTGCTCAAAATGGGTTGAAGTTTTCTTCCTCTGCCTTTGAATTAGTATGCAATGGACTTGATGGATGAGTTACAAATCCTACCTGAAGGTGCTCGAAGTATAAGAAGAATGTTTTCTTGGATTTTGGTTATTAAACACTAGCATTGTTATTTTGGTATCCAAGCCCAGAGGCAAGGGAGAGAAAGAGCGAGAGGAAGGAATAGGAAATCATGATGTAAAATGTGTACAGGAGAATCCTGGTGTGCACAAAGGTATTTAATTTCCCCTGTCCCCCTCCTGCCTTCTCCCTTTCTCCTTGGCTATCTCTTAACACCAATTTCATTCTTAAGAGGGCAGAGCAATGGGTGGTGAAATGACATAACTCTGTTTCTCTACTCTCTTCTCTGTTTCTCAGTTATATGCTGCCATGTTTGTTGGTCATGCGAACACATTTTTTTGGAGCACAGTTATTCTTTAACCTTGCAAACCTATTTTGTTTTAGTCATAGTGACTCAGAGGAAAATACCTAAAACCCTTCACAAGAAACATTATGTTAAGGAGAGACGATTGTTGTGTGACCAAGTTTTGTGTATTCTGACAATAATTAATCTCAAACACTTCATTCTGAGTACCACCTAACCATTAAAACTTCTGTTGAAACTTCAGTTTCTTATCCCAGTCTTGTAATATTTTCTTTGTTATGGTTGACTTCTTCACCTAACCCAGCTCCATCCAGTAAACCTGTCTGAGATGATGGAGACGTCCTGTGTCTGTGATATCCCAAGTGGTAGCCACTAGCCCCATGTGGTCATTGAACACGACTATTGCACTGAAGAGGAGTGTGAGGCCCAGGGGGGTTATATGACTTATCAGGGGCTATGTTGGCAGTTAGTGGCAGAAGCTGAATGACTCTCCTGGTTTTCAGACCAGTGCTCTTTCTAGAATGTCATGCTGCCTCATGTTTAGATTTCATTTGGACAGGAAAAATGAGGAGGGACTTCGGAAAGGGAGACCTAATGTTTGCATCTAATGACCCTGAGTATGTGTATGGGAATAAACATCACCTCCTCTGGCTTTGCGTATAACAAATGACATAGAAATTCAGTTGAGCTAAATAGCAGGACTATGGGATTAGGGCTCCAGGCTGAATTGGACAGACCAAACCGGTAGTCTTTGTCTGCCTAAGGCTGCCCAGAACAGGTTTGTGTTCTAAGTTTGTTAATTATTCACTCACTCACTGAACACCTATGTAGTCCAGGTAGAGTAGGTTTGGGGATGAGGTATGAAAACTACTAAAAAACAGTGGAAGTGTTCCGTGCCCCATAAGAGGACAGATGGCCAATGAGGCAGTGGCCTGGTGCTCTGACAAGCATGGGCCAGATCTGGGTTCAAATCCAGTGCTTTACTTACTAGCTATGTGATCACAGGCAAATTACTGAGCCTATTTTAGCCTTATCTTTAAGATGGAGATGGTAATAGTATGATTTCAAATTGCTGTTGTTGCTAAGATTATATAATTTATTTAAAGCACTTGGTACAGTGCTTCATTCATAGTAAATGATCATTAAGTGTTAGTGTGCCTCATACCGCTATTACCGTTGTGGATGAAAATGCACCCTGTGAGTCATAATCGTCTTCATTTTTCAGACAAAGAAACTGAGGCTCAGGGAGATTAAGCAGACAAAGTCACCGTGATAAAAAGGGTCAGAACCAGAATCTGAGGCGGGTCAGAGCAGGCAGCTCTCAGGGAGAGAACTAGCCTCTTCCACCAGTTCCAGTCGAAGACGGCTGCCTTTGAGCAGGTGAGCTGGGGCCCCCGCAGGTCTTCAAGCAGCGCCCGTCCCCCGGCTCCCGCATCCCCCAGCAGGGTCTGCAGAGAAAGAATCCGCAGGCCTGATTAGAAGCCTCCAGTACCACCTAACCTTGAGACACACGTCCTAGTGTAATTTTCAGAAGTTTTTTGAACTACCATTTCTTGTCCTGGAAATACACACATTCAAATTCAATTTAAACTTGAAAAACAAGCAACGCTTTTTTTTGTTGTTGTTGTTGATGTTTTGTCTTAGGCTAGGTACGGTGGTGAGTGGCAGAGCTATTGAGTTAATGTCCCCGTCCATCATTCATTTGTTGGTCTGTACATCCACCCTTCTATCCATCCAGCCATCCTTCCATCCATCTATCCATCGATATCGCATGTATTAAACGCCCACTGTGTGCTAGACACCGTCCTGAAAGTGCTTTTCTTCCCGAAGGCTTTTTTCCTCCTGCCAAACGGTATTCTCAACTCAGGATGGGAAGTGGTGAGTGAGGGTAGCTGCAAATTGGCGAGGGCAGTAAGCAGAGGGAGCGATTACTTCCTGCGGAAGCTTTTCACCACTCGGCTTAGCATCGGTTAAGCCTGGGGGTGTCAAGCAACTCACAGCCCGGGAAGGCCGACATGAAGTGAGTAATACAGGTGCGGTACGCTTCTTTCTATAGGGGATGCCTTTGTGTGTGTGTGGGTGCTTCTACATCTATATGAGCAAATATTGCTTTATGCTGTTTTTTATAGCCCAGGCCACTAGCTTTGTGATTGTTGCTCACGAAGGAACCAAATGATTTGGGTTTTTTTTTTTTTTTTTTGGTTTGGTAAAATAAAGGTGGGGAGGCACTGGAAGCAGGCAGCAGGAGTGTCTACAGCAGCCAGGAGTGCGCGGAGGCACGTATGAGAGAGGGGAAGGAGTTTGCAGGAAAGCAGCTGCATTGCTCTGCTTGGGGGCAGGCGTGGGGGAGCAGGACTCCCGCCGCGGGCAGTGGGTGCTGCCCAGGTCCCGGTGGGTGCCCCGGGGCATCGCGGCGAAGCTGCTCAACCGGTCCGATCAAGCGCGTCCACAGCCCCAGGCTTAGCGATCTCTAAATTACTGAGCCAGTCCCCACCCCGCCCCTGGCCACGCGCGCAGCTCTCCTGCCGCGGGGGACTGCGTTCTGAGCAATCACTCCCAATCCTGGGACTCAATCCACAGGTCCCGGGCCGGGGACAGAGGAGCTCAGATTCCCGCGGGCACCCTGGGCCTCGCTCACCCGTCCGCCGCCAGCCTATTCATGAGCCGGGGCCGGGCCAGTCGGGCTGCGAGTGGAGGGGGCGGCGGCAGCTGTGAGGAGAGCTGGAGCCGGGAGCCTGGCGCACGGTGAGTAGCTGTGTCCTCAGGACGAAACCGGAGAGGCATCTACCGACCGTCGGGGACGCTGAGCGCACCCCCTTCTAGAAGACCCTTCCAGAATGGGCAGTCCATGGGGAGTAGAGGGATCCCTCTCCCCCCAGCCAGTCGCGCCCCCTCCGTGGCCCTGGGCAGGTGGTGCGAGCCGAGTAGCGGAGAGCTAGAGGGGCCGCGGGGCGGACGAGGTGGTCTGGGTGCCCGGCCAACGGGACATGGGGGACGGCGCGGACGCGCGCAAACTTTTCCGGCCGCGCGGTGTCCCGCGCCCGCCGCTCGAGTCTTCCTTCCATCCGCCGCGGGCGAGCCGCTGGCTGTGACTCGCCAGGTTCCAGGGCACGAGCGGCGGTGGGAGCGCGAGCGGGACCTGAGACCCCCGGGGCCGCGGGCTCGCTCTCGGGGGCTTGCGGGTTGGGGATGTGTGTGTCACTGCGGACCGAGCTGAGGTTCACCCGGGGGCTTGGGAATCAGGTATTCTGCGGTAAAGGGAGCGCTAGGGATGGCCCCAGGGACGCGGGGCCCCAGCAGGAGGGGGGCCATGGAAGTGCCACCGCGGGAGAGCGCACGCACCCCCTGGCTTGAAACAGCCCTCCTTCCCCTGTCCCTTCTGCGTGCCCAGCGCGGGGACCCTCGGCTGTTGCCGGACCGAGAAGTGGGGTGGGTGCTCGGGACGCACCCCGTCAGAACGTGCCGACCGGGACAACAAAGGAGAGCGCGAGAGACCGAGATCCTCGCGGCTGCAGGAGGGCTCGGGGCTCGGGATCCGCTTCCTCGAGAGCCCGCGCAAGGAGGGCCGGAGGATCGGCTCGGAGGCGGGGGCAGAGCTCCGGACCCCTTCTCTCAGGCGGGAGTGCCCAGGGGGCCGTTGGCGGGGAAGTGGCGCCGACGCGCTCCGGGCAGCCAAGTTACTCCGGCAACTCTCCCCGCGCACGGCGGGTTCCTGGAGCCTTCCGGCTTCCCGCGCCCTCCCGGCCGCCCATTCTTTTGTGTCCTGCAGCTTGGGAGAGGCTGCTCCTGCGGAGGGAGCGAGGGCAGGAGGGGGCTCGGCCTGGCGGCGGGTTGGAGGGAAAGGTCGGGGATAGCCCCAAGCTTCCTGCTGCAACAGGTTGCTCCCGAAGCCTGCAGCGGCGACTGACCTTTCTCCTGCCCAGGCTCGAGAAACGTTTGCCGAGGTTCCCGTGGGCGGCTGCTGACCTTTAAGATAAGCGAGTGCATGACTGGGGTCCTCTGACGCGCGCCCTCCCAACACCACTCCCCGACGCAGTGGAGACTCGAGTAGCTGCGGCAGTGTGTTAGGTTGAACCATATGAAATTGTCGATTGTTTTGAATCAAAGATTTGAAGATCTCTGTTACTTTCTCTTATTCAATTTATGTGACGTTACTTATTTTTCTTTACTCATTCGTGTTTCCTCTTTCAATGTCTTCGGAGCTGTTCTGTCAGGATGAGCCTAGGGGCCACAGACTATTGCTGTCACCTCGCAGTAGCAGTACAGACCCTTCTACGCCAGGTGCTTTACCTATGGGGTCTCTAAACTGCCAACCCCCTGCAAAATCCCCATCATACAACTGAGCAAAGGAAAGGTTGGAGAATGTAAGCAACTGTCATTTTCACATTGTCACAGGGTTAATAAGTTGAACCTAGAGACTCCTGCCCTGTCTCAAAAGCTTGAATTGTTGTCAATTTAGCAGTGCCTTCTAGTTTAGTTTTTTTTTTTTTTCTTTTTAACTTATCCTGTAAATTTTTTATGAACTTCCTTATGATTTCTATGCTGGACTATTTTTCTGTGTTCTAGTATAGTGAAGTAAACAAGTGTATCAAAGAACAGGTTGAAAATAACACAATATTAAACCAAGTATTGTTTTGTCGTTATGAAGGAAATAGTTTTTTCAGGGGGCCGAGAGCCCCCTCTGAGATTTGTTAAGGATCAGGGTGCCTTGTTACAAACAATAGAAGGCAATTCCCGGTAATTTCAGAAGAAAAGAGACTTCTTGGAAGGATACTGTGAAGGTTAATTCTAGATGTCAACTTGATTCGATTAAGGAGCACTGAGAAACCTGGTAAAGCTATGCTTTCAGGTGTGTTCATGAGCGTGTTTCCAGATACATTAGCATAACAGCCTGAGCGGACTGGGTGGGAAAGATCCACCCTCAATGTGGGCAGGAGCGATCCATTCCACTGGGATCCCGGAGAGAACAGAAACAGAGAAAATAGGTGAATCGCACTCTCCATCTGCTGGAGCTGGGATACACTCTGCTCTCCTGTCCACGGACATCAGAGCTCAAGACTTTTCAGCTTTTGGGTTCCAGGACTTACACCAACAGCACCATGGGCTTCCCTAGTTCTTAGGCCTTCGGACTTGGACTGAGCCATGCTGTTGGCATCCAGGTGGCCTATTGTGGGTCTCCTCAGCCTTCACAATTGCATGAGCCAATTCCCCTAATAAATCCCGTCTCATATATATATATATATATATATATATATATATATTTTTTTTTTGTCTTTTTCCATGTCCAGCAACGGATCACAACCCTCAGTGTCGCCCCCGGACCGGACCGGGACCGGCAACGGGATCGCAACCCTCGGTGCTGCTCCCGCGCCTCGCTCAGCCAGTGAGCGGGAACCGGTCTGTATGTGGGATCCGAACCCTTGGCGGGAGCGCTGCCGCGCTTCCCAAGCGGCGCACTATAGCAGTGTGCCACCGGGCTGGCCCGCCTCTCTTATATTTTTAAACATATCCTATTGGTTCTATCTCTTTGGAGAACCTTAACTAATACAGATGGGTACAGGTGGCTTAGGGAAGTGACAGGAAGGCTGGCTAGGCAGGCTCAGGAACCCAGGTCATGTGACAGGACTGCTGATTGGTGTATGGCTGTGGCTGCCAGCGTGGCACCCTGGATAGGCTGCTGGCCCTGCCGCCATCATTGCTAGAATGAATTGGAAATGGCCCCTCTTCGGTGTATTCCAGGCACTGGCCCAGGAGAAAGCATCTAATTGGCTGAGCTTGGCTCACCCCCAGGACCTAGTTTGGGTACCTTAGCTGGCCTCACAATGAGAGGCAGGGTGCCTCCCTCAGGACTCACAAAGGTGGGCTCAGGAGTTAGGTAGTTCCCCCTTCCCCCAAAAAGCATCCCGGATGACAAACAGCTATTAGAGATCCTTTTTGAGAAATTCCATCAAAAGAAGAAAAGAAGCTGGTTAGTTACCATATTTGCTTTTAAGCCAGTGTTACTGAAATGCAATTCTTTAGACTCCAGGCTCAGAATCACGTGAGGTATTTGTTTAAAATTGACCATCTTGGGTCCCTTTCCTAGTTTGAATTCAGTACGTTTGGAATGGAAACCAGGAATCTGTGCCCCATAAATCAGGAAAATGGTAAGAGAGCCTTATTGATTAGTCTAGTACCTGTTTAAGGGATGATAGCCCCTCCCTCAGGGCCTTTCCAAAGCCTGCAAAGTTGAGGGTCTCAGCAGAAAGCGTCTCCCCCAGAATGGTAGACCAGTTGTTTTGCCATGGGTGAATCCCATGAGGAGATGTTCTGTGGCCTGTGTTGGAGAAGTAGCTATGGGCAATCCTATATCTCTTCTAGAAGCTATCAGAATAAATGCTTGAGGGCCGGGCTGTGGCGCACTTGGGAGAGTGCGGCACTGGGAGCGCAGTAGCGCTCCCGCCGCGGGTTCGGATCCTATATGGGGATGGCCGGTGCGCTCACTGGCTGAGTGTGGTGCGGATGACACCAAGCCAAGGGTTGCGATCCCCTTACTGGTCACAAAAAGGACAAAAAAAAAAAAAAAAAAAAAAAAAAAAAAAAAA